GTGAGAACGGGAAGGTGGAGGTAGGTGGAAAAGTGATTTAAAAAGCCCTTGGAGGGAAATCAGGACACTTGGGTTTTAATTCTGGTTCTACCACCTTGGTTTCTATGTCTTCAAATGCAAAATGGAATGTCAATGAGATAATTCCTAAAGTCTCTTCCAACTCTGACACTCTGTATTCAAAAATATTCTCACAACATAAAAAGCCTGGGTCTACTCTGGAAGATTTTCTCACTTCTCTTAGATGGTGACACCCAGCCAGGAAACCTGGGATGAAATAAATACATATTCTACCTCAAGGGTACTGAAACCAAATCTGACCGTCCAAGTATAGCTCCTCCTCTGAGATGACTTTCCCAACCTCTACTCCCATAGCCAAACCACAGCAAGTCTGATACAACCTTTCAAGGCTCTAGGGTTAGCCCTGAGGGGCTAAAGGTGGGGTACTTTCTAGTTATAAAGCCCGCAAACCCCTACTAGTCTATTCACCATCATAAATATCAACATCAATCAGTCTGTCAGACTTAATTAGATTTTAGAAAGGGGCACTTATTACAGTTGTATAGTTAGTACAGTTGGTGCAAAACACCCTCCACCCAAAAAAAGTCTTTGATACACTCTCCCACATGAATATGGAGTCTCAAGGAAAATGGACCCAAGCTTAGCAATGACATGTGGCAGAGGGGTAACTTATCACTCCCAGAAGTCATTTTGGTGGAGTCCTGCAGATGTTTCTGTTAGATACATTACAGCATTTCTACCAGGCTCTCTGCAGAGTTTCAAATCTTCATTCATTTCTGTCCTTCCTTCTGGATGCTGACACTGCTATCAGCTATTCCAGGGAAAATATTAAGGTTTCACGGGGAAGATAGAAGTCCCAAAACCTCCAGAGCCTTCAAAACTCTAGCCAAGGGTATGAAGAGAAGAAACCAAGGCTGGGGCCAGGGCACTCTGCTCCACTTTGGGGGTCCACACCGCCCCCCCAGTCCCCGCCCCTAGCCAAGTGACTCCTTTCCAAGGGGGTTAGCAGAACCTTCTCTCTGCTCTTTCCTTGTTCACCAAAGTCCCGATCTCCGAGTTAAGAGTTGGCTCCGTAAGACATGACCAGGTGCCTTGACCAATCCAAACCCACTTCCTGTGCAACTTCTCCTGCAGTTCATCTGATGGCTCAGCTCGCCAACACATCTCATTTCCTCTGCATCTTTTTAGCTTAGTTAGAATGCTCTTTGAATGATTTGATTCAATCAGTGTATCATTAAGATATCCAGATCAATTTGAGGGGGAGGGGTGATTTCACTTATTTACTCAATAATTTCACTTATCAGTTGACCACCATCACCACCCCTTACACAAGCACGTAAAATTGAAAATTGATTTTAATTCTACTTTTAAGACTTAGTCAAGCTGGTATCGATTTTAATAATCTCCCATGTAGTGTTAAGTTAAACTTCTTACTTTTGCAACTTCACTCTTCACCTACATCTAGGAGATACTAGCGTAAAGGTTAAGCTTTTGACATGTAATTACCTCTCCCCTTTACTCAGGTGGCCTCCAGTCCTTTGAGTCTCAATTCTATTACTTTCTTTTATATCTCCACCTGGTATTGTCCACTGTGGTAAACTCACCCACCACCCATTTAAGTCAAATGCAAGTTCCTTCTTGATATCGTCTAGCATATTCTTGGGATATATGAGGTGTTCAGGAGGACTAGTGTGAGGGCTGCTGAGACCTTTTCAAGACTGCTCAGGACACCTTTGGTGTCCAGCTGCTCATCCAACTCTCACCTGTGGCTTCAAGAAGCTGCGACATGCACAGCAGCTGCACCTTGGTAAGCTATTTTAGCAAACTTGGCTAAACCAGATTGAGGGTAACCAACAGGCCTCAAACTGTTATTGAGTTAGGAGGGTGTCTACCCCAAGCATGTGAAGACTTCCCCCAATGGAATGAGCAGATGAGAACCATTTGTTCCAAGGACCCCAAAGGGAAGTGAAGCAAGCACTCAGCCATCGAAGACACCAGGGTCATCCGCTGCATCCTGGGCCATGGCCAGTTGTCTTGCCACTGGACTTTGATGACTGGAAGAGAGAGGCTGATGATTTAGGGCAACTCTGCCTCACTTAAATCCAACTGACTCACAACTTAAGACATCCCCTTGTGATACCATTGGTCCTCTTTGAAAACAAAGGACGAACAACAACCAATCGAGATCATCTTCCCTTTGTAAGGAGAGGTCCAAATGATGTCCTGTCCAAGCCGATCAGAAGGAAGATACACTTAGGTTTAAGAGACCCTGTCAGCCCTCACTCAGGGTCTTTGGTCATTGAGGAAGGCCATTTACCAAATTTCTTGGTTACTACTGACCTTAGTAATAAATTGATCATGTCTAGGCCACTGTCTCTCAGTTTACCTCCACTTCAAACGTGAGAAACATATGGTCCATGATATCACTGAATAAGTTCTATTCAAAGGAGGAAAGTAAAACACAAAGCCTTGAATGAGCAACCATTAATTTACTCATTTTTCCATCCTTGATTTCTTATTGGACCTTTGGGTCGGGGCCAGGCTCTGCACAATTTCTAGAAGGAATTGTGAGGCATTATTTGGCCCTTCTCCATATTATCCGGGGTTTTGCCGCTGCTTCCTTTGGGTACTGAGCGCTATGTTCCTTGAGGACCTCAGAGGTGACCCAGATCAGTGAGTGGTAAATTTTACACACCCAAAGAGGTCTGATCTTGCACCCAGGATAATTGTTGCCATCCTCGACCAACCTTTACAGGTTCCCAGCCCTGGCCTGGGGGTGAAAGTGACATAGCTGCTGCAGGCCGTAGGTGTCTTTGGTTCACCTTTGGTCCATACACTCGTCTTGCTGGCTTTCAATACACAGCTGCAAGCTCTAGGATTTCCTGGCTCTGCCCTGGTCTGGGATCTGGAAAGCTTCTATGTTCTGATCTAGGGAAAGTTTTTCTGGCTGAACCTTTTCCCTAGCAGGTATTTCCTTTCCTTCCCCTCTTCTGCACCCTCCACCACCACCAAAAAACTCCTTCTCAGGGAGTTTAGCTGGAGTGCTTACTCTCTCTTCGTTTGCTACTCACTTATCTCATCTCTATCACTTCTGCATTGGTCTTCCATTTTATAGAAGACCCATGGGGCACGACCAAGTTTCTTCAGCCAATCTTCATTCTTTACATACACTTCAGTTCTCCCATGCTCATCCAGAACATCTAAATTGACTGAGCCTTTTCACACTTAGTTGAAATGCCTTAGATTGATTCGATTCCACTGAGATGCCTTTCAGTGGAGTAGTTGTGAGAGAAGAGCTGAGTTGTTCATGTCCTGACCACACCTCCATCTTGGGCAATATATGAGCATCCATTTGTCCCCCCAAAAAAAATAAATAAATAAATCTCCAGAATCATACGGTAAGCCCTAAAGGGATTTGGAAATCTGAATTATTGCTCTTCACAAATGCATATTCTATTGGAAATCGGAGGGATGCCCATCAATTGGGGAATGGCTAAACATGCTGTGGTATATGATTGTAATGGAATATTATTGTGCTATAAGAAATGACAAACAAGATGGCTTCAGAAAAATCTGGAAAGACTTACATGAACTGATGCAAAGCGAAGCGAACAGAACCAAAAGAACATTATACACAGTAACAGCTACACTGTTCGATGAAGAATTGTGAATGACTTAGCTCTTCTCAGAAACACAATGATCCAAAAAGAGAAAAAAGAAAAAAAAGGAATAAATCAAAAGAAATACAATGATCCAAGACAATCCAAAGGACTCATGATGAAGCATACTATCTTCCTCCAGAGAAAGAACTGATCTTGTTTGAATACAGACCGAAGCATGCTATTTTTTTCCACTTTCTTTCATTCTTTTTCTTTTATTCAAGTCTTCTTGTACAAAATGATTACTATGGGAATGTTTAACATGATTGCACATGTATATCCTATATCTGATTGCTTACTATCTCAGGTAAGGGGGAAGAGAGTGAGTGAGGAATAGAATTTAGAACTCAAAACTTTAAAAAAAGTTTTAAAAATTGTTTTAACATGTAATGGGGGGGAAACAAAATATTTAAAAATGCAGATTCTAAGGATTTTCCCTAGTTTTATGGAGCCAAGAGACCAGGACCCTTCCAATCCCATGCTTCTAGGCTTGATGATCCTAATGGTCTCAGTGTATAGGAGGGCAGGCAACAAAGGAGGCAGAGGTAGGAAGTTCCCGTGAGACTTGTCAGGGAAGTAGTGTCATGTAGTAGGAAAAGCTCTGGATTTGGAACCTAAAAATTTGCATTCAAACCCAGGCTCTGTGACTCACTACATGGGCTACTCCATTAGCCTGAGTCCATCAAGAGCACGGCTGTCTTATACACTGGCACATACATAGGCACTTAATGAATGTTTGTTGACTGAACCTGGGCAGGTTATTTGGCCTCTCTGGGCCTCAGTTTCCTCATCTGTAAAATGAAGAAGTTTGGATTTGACAGATTTAGATTCTAAGATCTTATCTACCATGATGTTTTAACATCATTTTTCCTGTTTTCTCATCATTTTTTTTTCTGTTTTCTCATCTATAAAATGAGGGTTTGATGATTTATAAGCCTATAAAGCCACCTCCTATCCACTGAGCCTCAGTTTTCCTATATGTAAAATGAGGGAGTAAATCAGATTGCCTCTGAGGTCCCTTCCCTTTAGTTCTACAATCCTATGAAATCAACTCCCCGTCTGGATCTCAGTTTCCCCACATGTAAAATGAGAGGATAGACTAGATGGCCTTAAATCTTTGATCTGTGAAATGCTCTGCAAACTGTGGAGCCACAAAGACACGCCAGCCATTATCCTTTCCTCTGTATCAAATTGCCTTAAGCTCCTCTCATTTTCTGAAAAAGAAAAACTGTTCCTATTCCCAACGCACAGCAGCACCCCCTGCCACTTCCTGCCCTTCCCCAGCTCAAAGGTAGGAAGAAAACACAGAATATTCTCGCCGCCCCAAATGTGCCAAGTGGTGGTTGCCATGAGCACAGAACAGCACTTTATTTGATATCATTTCCCGAAGTGTTCTGTTGCCATAGTAACAGAATGCTGGTTCTTGAGACACTGAGGATGTGTCTCTGGGTTCAAGTACAGAAGACAATGTTCTTTCTTGAGGTCTCCTAGAAGGGCAGGCTGGGACAGGGCAAGGTGACACAGTGAAGGAGAAGCCCTGGGAAAGGGTGAAAGAATGCAGTTAATCACTGGCAAGACTGCCCAGGTCAGTGGAGTCCACGAGGAAGGACCACAACTAAGGATAGTAGCATGCAGGGCAAGGACCACAATCATCCCTACCCCTGTTCCCTCTCCCAAAGCCCCTGGGAGCAGAGACAACCCCAGACACAGCTCAGCACAGTAGAAAGGGAGGTACTGTTACTTCACCCCAACTAGGCCATATGGAAGCTTCCTTTCCAAACTAGGTATTCTTGCTAATTAGGTGTTAAGCTATGTTGGGTTGGTTTTTGTTTTTTCTTTTTATCACTGAAGGACTGCTTGTCTATCGGTGCTCTCTAAATTTGGCACCCTGGGGCAAAGCCCCAGATGCCATGACCTAGTTACACTCTTCCGCTAGGATGTCATGGCTTTCAAATAGCATCAGGTTCAAGGAGGCAGTAATAATACTAGCAGATTGACCGGGGAAAGGGGAGGACAGGGATGCAAGATATGCAAGACGAATGGTACGACTGTCTTCAACTCTGGCTCTCAATTTCCTCACCAAGAAAATGTGGAGAATTTTGGCACTACTGACTTCATAGGGCTGAAGCGTTGGTGAAATCATGTACCACTACAGAAATGTGACTTACCATTTTAATTACTATAACATCATAGACGTAGAGGTAGAAGGGACCACCAAGTGTAATGAAGAGAGCACTGGATTTGAATTCTGAGGATCTGAGTTCAAAGAAAGAAGTAAGCAAGCATTTACTTAGCACCTACTGTGTGCCAGGTATTGTGCTAAGCACTTTACAACTATTATCTTGTTTGATCCTTACAACAACCCTGGGAGGTAGGTGCTATCATTATCCCTATTTATAATTGAAGAAACTGAGGCAGACAAACGTTAAGTGACTTGCCCAGGGTTATACAGCTAGAAAGTGTCTGAGGCTGGATTTAAACTCAGATCTACCTAACTCCAGATTCAGAATCCTATCCACTGTGCCACCTAGTTGCCCCAAATACCATGTATACCCTTTATTTCTCATGTAACCTTAAGCAAGTCCTTTCACCTTTATGGATCTCGGTTTCCTTATCTATAATCTGAACAGGTATCGGCACTAGAGCTGGATGGAAACTCAGAAGCCATTTAATACAATTGCCTCATTTTACAGCTGAAGAAACTGAGGCTGGAGGGGGTGAATTCACACAGGGGAAAATCATCAGAGGTAAGGCCTGAACCCAGGCCCCCTAATTCCATAGCCAATTCCTCTTCCATTGTACCACCCCAACTTCCTGTTAGAAGACCTCTAAGGTCCCTCCAATTCTAAATCCTGTGATTCCCATGATCTTAGAGGTCACCAAATCCAACCTCCTCATTTTGTAGGTGAAGAAGCCCATTGACATTAAATGGCTTATCCAAAGCCACATAAATGGCAAAAACTGGATCTAGAGCCTTAGAGCTAGAACAACTGTTAAAGTCTACCCCCCATTCCTAAACTCATACAATCTTAAACACAGAATGTCAGAGCCAGAAGAGACCTTAGAGATCCACTAGACCAGTCCCCTCATTTTACAGTTGCAGAAACTGAGGTCTAAAGGAGAAAAAGGACTTGATCTAAAATGAAACCAGGCCTCCCAACTTTTGGTCCCCCCCAAACCCTCACAGAGCCTGTACCAGCCACATGCCAACATATAGAACATGCATGGACACACAGACACAAGCATCACCTACTATAGATGCGGACACACATTTAAATGTCCCCGGGCACAGTATATGGCAGGAGCACATGTGTATGCACCCTGTCTCTTTTGCAAACCTCTCTTCAAGACATCAGCAAGGTATACTGGAGAGAGACTATGGAAGTAGAGTCAGGAAAGTTGGGTCTAAGCCCAGCTTTACCACTTTCAATTCAATTCAGCAAATGTGCCCTGTGCCAAGTGCTAGGAATACAAAGTTAAAAAATAAATCCTCCACTCCTACAGAGCTTAACTTCTACTGAGAAGGATACAGTAGGTAAGTAGGTAGGCAGATACATACGTATGTGAATGCATACATACATACATACATGATAGATACATAGATATGTAGCTAGATGACAGATACATAGATAGATGATACCTAAATACATACACAAATATATATACATATATAGATGATAGATACATTGATGGTAGGTAGATACATATGATAAAAATACATACATGATACATACATAGAGGATGCATAGCTACATTGATAGATACATAGATATATGCATACACAGATACATACACACATAGATGATATATAGAAACATAGATAGATGTACATAGATAGATACAGATACATAGATGATACACAAACACATACATATATACATACATAGATGATAGACACATAGATGGTAGATAGATATATAGATGATAAAGATAGATAGATGATACATACATAGATACATAGATATATGATAGATACATAGATAGATGAAACATAAATATATACATATATAGATGATAGACACATACATGGTAGTTAGACATATAGATGATAAAAATACACAAATAGATGATACATACATAAATAGATGATACATACATAGATGCGTACATACAGATACATGCATACATGCATATACAGATATGTATGTGCTTGCATATATACACACATGTATGTTATGTGTGCATGTATGTATATACAAGATCATTTGTAAAGGCCGAGGGTACTAATCAGAGGTAGTTGAACCCTGAAGGAGGATTCCAAGCAATAAGGAAGACGTGCATTCAAGGCAAAGGAAATAGCCTGTTCCAAGTTCTGGAGGAGGGAGATGTTTATGCACTTCAATTGAACAGTTCAAAAAGCACTGAGTAAGCACCTTCTATTTGTCAAACAATAGGGATACAATGACAAAAAACAGCAAAGTCCTGTCCCTCAAGGAGCTTACATTCTCCTGGAGACAGCAAATAGGACAGTTTGAATAGAAGGCAGAGTATATAAAAAGGTTCAGTGTGAAGTTCCCAGAAAGGTAGGTTAGAGACAGAGTGGAAAGGGCTAAATCCCAGATGAAGGAGTTTTTCTTTTTGTCAGAGAGGCAATAGGGAGCCACTGACGTGATTAGAGGGTATAAGAAGATGGTGGCTGTGTGACTGGAACCAGAGAGGTGGAGGAACAAGATGTGTGAAGGTAAAATTGATAAGCCTGGGCAGCTTCCCTTCTCTAAGCCTTGGTTTCTCCATTTACAAACTGGAGAGATTGGTCCAAATGACCTCTAAAGTCCCCTTCCATTCTAAAAGTTTTGATTTTGTGAGCAAATATATCCCTGTCCTCCAAAGGAGATATATCCATGAACATAGTGAATCATTTCTCTACCCCTCATTTATATTATCACACCCAGCCACCTGGATTTGGAGAAAAAATGTATTCTCCAAACACTAAAAGCCCTGGCACGATCCTTTTGAAAAGATCAGCCTGCACTGAGGTAGTTTAGCCAAGAGCAACCATTCAAGGTCACTAAATAAGGCACAGAATTGACTTTGATTTTACAATGCAAAACCAAAAATGCATGTTTTGTCCTTTTAAAAAGAATAATACTGGGGCAGCTGAGGTGATGCAGTGGATAAAATACCAGCCTTGGACTCAGGAGGACCTGAGTTCAAATCTGGCCTCTGACACTTAATAGCTGTATGACCCTGGGCAAGTCACTTAACCTAGACTATCTCCCCCCCAAAAAATAAATAAAAAATAAAAAGAATGCTATTGACCCACTCTTAGGTTCCTTACCAAGGGGACAGTTGGTACAATGGAAAGAGCAATAGGAAACCAGACCAATCCTGGCTCCATCACTTACTAGCTAGGTAACCTTAGAACCACAAATTTGGAGCCCAGAGGAAGTTTAGAAATTACCTAATCCAACCCCTTCATTTAATAGAAATGCAGCCCCAAAGACAAGTGAACTACTTAAGGTCACACAGTCAGGAAGTGGAAGAGCTAGGGTCCAAACTCAGGTCTTCCTGACTCCAGATTAAGCACCTTGCCCATGGATCATGCCAGTCATTTCACACTCCAGATGCTCAGTCTCCTTATCTGTAAAAATGAGGGTAACATTTGTACTGCCTACCTTATAGGATTTCAGGAAGGTATATGAGAAAGTCTATCATGCCATCTTCATGGAGAAGATGGAGAAGTGTGGCCTATGTGCTAATGAAAGGAAGGAAGGAGGGAAGGAAAGAAGGGAGGAGGGAAGGGAGGAAGAGAGAGAAGGGAGGACATAAAAAAGAGACAAAAAGGTGGGGCTGGTGACTGGGGAGAGAAAGGATTAATGAATACAGTTGGATGAATTTGGAACTTATTGAATAAGCAGGCCCAAAGAGTGGTGATTAATGGACATGGAGGAAAATCTCTAGTGAAATACTCTGATATTTTAATCAATAGTTCAGATGAAGGTATACTTATCACATTCAAGTATAACATAAAACTGAGAAGAATAACCAACATTTTGGTTGACAATCACAATAGAGACATTAAACAATGATCTCACTAGGCTGGAAGGAAGAATCTAAAACAATGAAATAAGATTTCATAGAGTTACATATAAAGTCCTATATTTGAATTCAAAAATCAACTATGCAAGTACAGAGCAGAGGAGGTGAATCTGTAAGACAGTTCCTGTGAAAGAGGTCAGGGGGTCTCAGTGGACTTCAAGCTTAATATAAGTAAGCAGTATCCAAGGCATTTCCTGACAAGACCTAACACTGCAATGATAAAAAGAAGCATTGTATTCAGAAAGAAGGCTAGAGGGAGGGGGAAGAGAATAAACATTTATTAAGCACCTATTATGTGCAGGCACTTTTACAAATATTATTTCATTTTAACCTCATAACAACCCTAGAAGGAAACTGCTATTATGATCCTCACTTGACTTTTATTTATACAGCCTCTACTGAGGTCAACAAAGTTAAGTGACTTGCCCAGGGTCACACAGCTATTAAAAGTATCTGAGGCAAAGTTTGAACTCAGGTCTACCTGACTCTGGCCCAGCACTCTATCCACTATGGTGCCACCAGCAGCCTCTAGCCTGTTCAGACTGTCACATCTGGATTATATTCATTGCTGGTGATACATTTTAGGAAGGTCATTAACTCTCTAGATAGAGCGTGTCCAAAGTAGAGGCCAAAGGATAGCAAGGAGAATAGAGACCATGGTAACCAAATACTGACTAAAGGAACTGAGGATGTTTAGCCTAGAGTAGAGAAGGCCTAGGAGGAAAATGATAGATGAAAAACTGTCATGTGGAAGAGGGATGGGCAGCTAGGTAGCAAAGTAGATAAAGCGCTGGGCTTGGAGTTAGGTAGACCTCAGTTCAAATTGGGCCTCTGACACTTACTAGCTGGGTGACCCTGGGCAAGTCACTTCACCCTGTATGCCTCACTTTCCTCATCTGTAAAATGAGCTGGAGAAGGAAATGGCAAACCGCTTCAGTATCTCTGCCAACAAAACCCCATATGGGGTCATGAAGAGTCAGACAGGACCGAAACTACTGAACAACAAGGAGGAGGGATCAGTCTTGTTCTGCTTGGCCACAGAGAGCAGAGCTGGGAGCAAGAGGCAAGGTTAAGGTTGATTTCAGGAAAAAGCTCACTATCTTCAAGTGGAAGGGGCTTCCTTTGAAGGTAGTAAGTTCCTCCTCATTGGAGGTCTTCAAGAAATGACTGGATGACAACCTTCAGGGAATGTTGCAGAAGGGACAGATTCCTGTTTGGGCTCAGGTTTGACGAATTGGTCCCTGAGGCTCCTTCCAGTTCTAAGAAGGCCGTAGTGCTCAAATGAAGAACTAACATGTACCTTCTGTCCTTCTAAAGCATCACATGAAATGAGGGGCCATTTCTTCCCTCGGCTAGCCTCTCCCCTAACCACAGCTGGCTTTCAAGGTTCACAACAAGATGCTTGTCTCTAGAGGATTCAATTCCAGACAATTCTCATCATGGCAAATTCAAAGCAGTCTGTGAATGTGACCAATCTGTCACCCTAGACTGAAGCAGATCTTCTGACTCCCTGTCTGCACCTCTCCAAAAGCACTTAGCTAACACTAGCTTGTAAAAATGTAGGTAGCCGGCTTTCTCCCCTTCTACCAGCTCCATAAAGCACCAAGGTGGTTCAATAACATGCTGGTCTGGTGAGTTAGGAGGACTTGAGTTAGAACCCCTCCTCAGACACTTACTAGCTGTGCAGTTTCTTCATCTGTAAAAAAGGGATAATAATAGCACAGAGTTGCTGTGAGGGCCCAATCAAATTTTACATGTACACATACACACATATACACATACATAGTTCTGATGGTTATACATATATATATATACATATATATATATATACATATATATATATATATATATATATATATATATGTATATATATAGTTACATAGATAGGTATATAGACATAGTTATATAAAACCTTAGACCAGAGAATGTCAGAGCTAGAAGGGGCCTTTAGAACTCAAAATACATAAGCTAGAAAGGGCCTTAGAACTTAGAACATCGGAGCTGGGAGAGCTCTTACTGGAGGGAGCCTTAGAACACAGAATGTCAGAGCTGGGAGGGGTCTTAGAACAGAGAACAGAAGAGTTAAAAGAGACAATGTTAGAGCTGGACAACTTAGAAAACAGTATTAGAGCAAGATGAGATCTTAGAACATAGAATGTCAAACCACAGATTTTCAGAGCTGGGAGTCAGAGCTTGAAGAGGCCATAGAACATAGAACATTAGAGCTAGAAGGGGCCTTAGAACAGAGACTATCAGAGTAAGAAAGGACTTTATGATACAGAATATTAGAACACAGAATGTTAGCACTGGAAGGGACCTTAGAGATAATATAGTCCAACCCCCTCTTTTTTTTTCTTTTTTTTTTTAACAGATGAAGAAATTGAGGCTTGGAAAGGGGAAGTGATTTTTCTAAGAAGGAAGAAAACATGCAAGCATGAAGATGGATGTGAGTCTCTTGTCTCTGCAGAACCAGGAGAAAACTGGCATGGCTGAAGCAGAAGGTACGTATTAGGGAGCAGCAGATGAAGTTGGTAGGGTCATCTGATTATGGGCCTTAAAAGCCAGATAGAGAAGTTTGGATACAAGATGGCTGGCAAAAGTGATCCACTGTAGTTTCTTGAGCAGGCAAGGGAGGCTGAGGAAAGAATCTAGAAGAGAATGTGGTCACCCAATCTTGGCCAAGTAGAGTTAGGAATGACAAGACATCCAAAAGGAGCTGTCCAGCAGGCAGTCCAGGAGGAAGGACCAGAGCAGATCAGAATCCAGCATCACTGTGAAGTTACTAAATTTTTCATTTCTCAGAAAGTGCCATAGACAGCCATTACATCTCTCCTGTCAGTAGGACCTGGCTGTCCACAGGATCACAGGACTTGAACGGGCAGAGTCAGTAAAAATTATCTACCTCACCCCCTTCATCCACCAGGTAAGGAAATTAAGATCCAAAGAGGGGAGGTGACTAGTGGCTAGCCCAATATTATCCAGCTGAGATTATAAGCACAGCTGGGATTGGAATCCTGGTCCTCTGCCTCCTTGAATTGTCTGTACTGATGACTGGGACCATCAGTCATTTCAACTCTATTATTTATCAGCTATTCCAACTTGGGCTGAACAGTTTTCCTGGGTCTTTTTCCTCACGTGCAACATGAGGAGAGCAGGCTAGATGCTCACCTAAGAGCCTTTCCAGTTCTCGATTCTGTGGTCTTCCTCCCCTTCCAGAGGGAATTCTGCTTTTGGCTCATCCCAGGACTTGAATCCATCCCAGACCTAGTGTGAAAATCCATGTCTGGTAAGAGGGCTCATCAGCTAGCTTTGGGAGGGTCTTGGAACCCCAGAACTAAACTAGACCCTGATGCCCCAGAAGTGTGGTCCTGAAATTCCAGCTTCATTATAGATGCCAACCTTGTAAGTATTCTTATGGGTCCTGGGACTATACCTCTTCTTCACCACCACTCCCAGATTAGCTTGGAACCCTGAGTTCAGAATCAAAGAGGTCATCGTGATGTAGTGGAGGACTGGATGGATATGGAATCAGAGGACCTCCATTCCAGTCCTGACTCCCACAGTCTGTGACCTTGGGCAAATCACTTAACCTGCATAGGCCCCAATTTCTTTATAAAATAATGGAGCTTGGCTGGCTGACCTAGAAGGTCCTTTCTAGCTCTAAATGGCTTAATCCTAAAGGCCTTCCTGAAAGCACAGTCATCCATTAGATTAGAAACTCTCTGAATTCAGGACCCAATCTTTTTCTTCTGCATAAACTCTCCTCATAGCCATCACACAGACCCAAAATGGAGATTTTCAGAGAAAGGACAGTCAGAGGAGAACTAAGAGACTGATGGCGGACTGGGTTACCCACCCCCTATCCCTAGTCTGCCTGATTCTGGACTGACGGGCCCTTGAGATGGTGAAGTGGCAGGTCCTGGTGAAATGTCAACTCTTCTGCATGCCTCATCAATACTCCAGCTGTGGCTCTTCCTCCCCACCAATGCGGCCCCACGACCTTGTCCTGAACCTAAGAGATGGTAGTTTCCCACAGTGCTCCCCCCCCCCCCCCCCGCAACCACCTTGCTTTCTACTGTGCTGGCACAAAACAAAGTGAGGCCGTGTATTCCCTCCCACCCTCCACTACTACCAGGGAAATCACTCCCACATAGATGCTCAGCTATCATGAGTGGGGGAGGGGAGGCTCTGCTGGAGGAAGGGGGAATCCCCCTGTGAGTGAGGTCAAGGATGCTGCAGAGAACATCGAGATTAAGAAACAGGGGGAGACCCCTCGAAAGGTCAAACAGAGATCCCAAGAAGGGCAGGGAAGGTGCCCCGAGGTTTTAAAATTAAATCTAACCCTCCCCTTGCGGGGTTTGGGGAAAAGGGGCGGGGGGGGTCCAGTGTCCTGCGTGAAACAGAGCCCGGCGCACTGGCTGGGGTGGGAGGGAACCAGGGAGAGAGAGAAGGGGGAGGGAGCGCCAGCGCCAGCGGTCCCGCCCGCTGATGCAGGCAGCCTGGGGAGGTGGAGCAGCCGAGCCAGGAGGAGTCCCAGCCACCGCCGCCACCGCCGCAGCGTAGCTCAGTGATTACCCCACTGGCCGTCAGCTCCACAGACTCCTCGCCTCGTCTCGCCTCCCCGCCGCCGCAGTGTTGGTGGCTGACGAGAAGAGCGCAGGGTTCCCCCCCTCCCCCGACCTAGTCTCGGGACGAAAGCAGCTGTCGGTGCGCCGCCCCCCTCTCCCGTCGCCTTTCCCAGGCGGGAGGGTGGCCAGAGCTCACTCGGTTCTCTCCTCCTCTCGGCCCCAGCAGAAGCCGCCGCTCTGCCAGGCACCACCGGGCATCTACGCGGCCAGCCTGGCAGCTCCGGAACCAGCTTCAACGGATATACGGGCATCCGCAGACTGGGCCTTGCCAGGCATCTCCGTTTCTGCCCCCGGCCCCTCGGGGCACCTCGGGGCCAGCTCTGCAGGGCAGGGCAGCCCCGAGCCGCTCCTCGCCAGCAGCCGCTGCCGCCACAATGCTGCCCTGGAGACGGAGCAAGTTCGTGTTGGTGGAGGATGAGACCAAGCGCAAGGGAAAAAGCCTGAGCCCCCGGCTTGCCTACACGTCGCTGATCTCCACCTTCCTGCGCTCTTGCCCGGACCTGCTGCCTGACTGGCCTCTGGAGCGCCTGGGTCGGGTCTTCCGCAGCAGGCGACAAAAAGTGGAGCTCAACAAGGAGGACCCCACTTATACTGTGTGGTACCTGGGCAATGCCGTCACCCTGCACGCTAAGGGCGACGGCTGCACAGATGACGCCGTGGGCAAGATCTGGGCGCGTAGCGGGCCGGCGGGGGGCACCAAGATGAAGCTGACGCTGGGACCCCACGGCATCCGCATGCAGCCCTGCGAGCGCACCGGGGGCTCGGGGACCCGACGGCCGGCCCACGCCTACCTGCTGCCGCGCATCACCTACTGCGCTGCTGACCGCCGCCACCCGCGCGTTTTCGCCTGGGTGTATCGCCACCAGGCGCGCCACAAGGCCGTGGTTCTGCGCTGCCACGCAGTGCTACTGGCGCGGGCGCACAAGGCGCGGGCCCTGGCGCGCCTGCTGCGCCAGACAGCGCTGGCAGCCTTCACCGACTTCAAACGGCTGCAGAGGCAGAGCGACGCGCGCCACGTGCGCCAGCAGCATCTCCGGGCGGCCGCGGGTGCCGCCGCTGCCTCGGTACCCCGAGCGCCCCTGCGCCGTCTTCTCAACGCCAAGTGCGCCTACAGGCCGCCGCCCGCGGAGCGCGGCCGCGGGGCGCCTCGCCTCAGTAGCATCCAGGAGGAGGATGAGGAGCAGGAGCAAGAGCAGGAGGAGCAGGAGGAGGGGGCCACTGGGAAGGAGCAGGAAAAGGCTGAGCGGGAGCTAAGCATAGAACGCCGTGAGGCCCAGGGCCCGGAGCGCGAGCGCCCCGAGGTGCTGAGCTTGGCCCGGGAGCTGAGGACGTGCAGCCTGAGGGGCTCCGCAGCCACCACTCCCCAGGCCCCACCCCCGACCCCTCCCCACAAGGGCTGCCTGCCGGCCCTAAAACGCCCGGCCTTGGATTCTGCTGCTCGGCAGCCCCTTCCCAGCCCCTTGCCCCGCCACCAGGCCCTGTGTGTTGTAGGAGGGTGGTAGTTGGTGCCCGGTGGCTAGCACAGAGGTCCCTCTCCGATGGCCCTTGCACTCCAACACTTCCCCAACTCAGGATCTCCTTCCTTCCCTTTCTCTGGCCCTCCGCAAACAAACCTCTCCCCTTGCCAACAGACCCCAGGCCCTTCCCTTCCCCACACCTAGCCACTTGAGAAAGGATGGAGAGTTTCCAGAGGTCTAGGATAACGTATCCCTGGACCCAGGCAATGGAGATGTGGCTGCAACAGGGAGGGTTAGAACTCTGTTCTAGAAACCCCCCTTCTCCTTCTCCTAGGGGACCTGGGGGTGCTTAACATGAGGATAGTACTGTGAACTAGAGGAATTGTAAGGGGACAATGAGCCACCTACTTCTGTGCTCAGGACTTACCTCCAGGATGACTCAGCACCCCCAAAGACTGGGAAGGGTGAATGGCCCTTAAGACCCTCCCCACCCCATCAGCTCTACAAAGGTTGGGGACTACTCTTCCCTCTTTACTTTTGGCCCTTCTTAGCCCTGCCACTGGAGGAGAGACTGGACAGAAAACCAGGCCTATTGTAGTGGCACCTCCTTCTGGACCCAGCAGCCTCTTGCCATCCCTACAGGACTGCTGATTCCCCCCCCCCCAGGGCCCTCTTCTCTGCAGATTCAGGTGTAGATGGATCTATTTAGGAGCCCCTCCCCAGTATCCCTGGACCAGGATGGGGCACTGCAGTAGGTAAGGTGACCACAGGGCAGGTGCTCCAGGCACTGATGTTATTGGGGGCAGAATCCCTAGATCAAAGACTGTCCTAAAAGGAAGGTCATGGAGCAGCTTTTTCTCCACTGAGGACAAAATGAATGGGTATGTTAACCCAACAAGGGGATGGGCAGTTGTTAACTGCTCACAGGCCTCTCTACTTGCTGAGGTCACAGAAAGCCCAAAGATCAAGATGTCACCGACTGATCACTGATAAATAAAGTGGATTTGCCTTTTCAGCTCTGCCAAGCTCCCCAATGGTCTTTGTCAGAAGCGCCAGTTTGTATTGAGCAGAATCGAATTTAGAGCCAGAAAAGATCTTAGAGCTTGTTTAGTCAGTACAGCATCACGAATAGAGTGATGGAGCTGGAATCAGAAGACCCAGGTTCGAATCCCATCTCTGACACTGGCTGGCTGTGTGATCATGGGCAATTCACCTCTCTCGGGTTCAGTTTCCTTATCTGTGACATGGGATTAATAACACCTGCAGTATCCCCAGTGCCTGGCATATATTTGGCTTATTGATCATTATTCTCTATTCACAGGGGTTGTGAGTCTCAAATGGGCTAATGCACACCAGTCAGTGAGTCAGTAACATTAAGAGCTGACTTTGTGCCAGGCACTGTGCTGAGAGCTAGGGTCCCCACTTCACAAATCTTAAAGGGCTCTGTAAATGTAACTTACTAGGATCATAGATTTAAAGGCTGAAGAGTCACCTAGTCCAAGTCCCTCATTTTACAGATGAGGAAACTGATGCCCAGAGGGGAACAACCTTATCCAAGGTCATACAGGTATTAAGTAGAAGCATTGGGATTTGAACAATAGTTCTCTGATTCCAAACCTTTCAGCTACTGGGTACTCTGTCAACCTGCTTCTTTGGCCAGAGGTGATGGGGTTCATTCAAACACCTGGAAGGCAAAGGAAGGTGCCAGGACATGACCCCTTTCAGCAACTGGACCTAGGTCCTCTGGGGAAGGAGCTGTCATTATGCATTGAATTATACTGAATAGCTGGCAGGGGCTGGGCATGGGTCAATCAGATATGTCCTTCTGGGAAAGTGAATGTTCATGGCCCTGCAGGGTATTGCAAGCAGGAGATATGATTGTGTCTTTGTCTGTCTTCAAGAATAAGCCATCTGCAAGAATATTCATACAGCTGGAGTTCAGGGGTGGGGGTGGGGACACCTGCTAAGCTAGTCTGTCTGAAGACAGGCATGTCTCTTGAGTGTCTGTCCACAGAGTTTCCAAAGGGATGCAGGAGTGGGAGGAAAACAGGTTGGCAAATGAGCTGAGGACATCCGAGTTCTCATTCAAAAGAAGCTATGGAAATGTGGCCAAGCCTTTCTTTCCCAACACTCTGCAGTCTTGAGATGCAATATTTCCTCAATCCTATTTTCTAGCTGGGATCTGAGCCCGGAGTACCTAGTACCCAGAGGAACACCATCTGTGGTCTCCAGTGAGCAGACTTCTTCCAGTGGCTCACCCAAGCATCTGCAGTTCCCCAGAGAAGAGATAAATGGGTGGTGCTGGAAGCCAAGAGTCATACTGCTGTGTCACACTGGCCCTGCAATGGGCCAGAGCAGGCCAGAGGCATTGGGAGCGGAGTATGCCAGGCAGGCACCGTCTGCTTGCTGGGTTGGGCAGCAGGACATGTGGAGAAAATGGTCTCATTGCTTTGCCCCCTTGAGCATTATTAGGGATAGTCTGGTGTTAGCCCCATTTTGCAGTTGGAGAAGGTAAGATATCATGATCTGCACCTGGCATCAGACATGAGATGAGAAGCTAGGTTTCTGTATTGTTTTATGTATGCCATGTGTCCAGACAGCTTCCTTCTCAGCTTAGGTGCCTCAATACTCCTTTCTTCTAGTCTAAAACACAGAAATGTCAGCTGGGAGAGACCTCAGTTTCCTCCTCCTTAGATCCTCCTAGATCTCTAAGATTCCTTCTGACTCCAGATGCTGTGAATACAGATTGTCAGAGCTGGAAGTGGCCTTAGGGCTGGGAGGGCTCTTAGAACACAGAATGGCAGGGCTGGGAGGGGCCTTAGAGCACCCAAAGCTGAGAGAGGTCAAAGAACACAAAATGTCAGAGCTGGAAGGGACCTTAGAACACAAAATGTCAGGGCTGAGAGGGTCCTTAGAACACAGAATGTCAGAGCTGGGAGGGCCCTTAGAACAGAGGATGTCAGAGCTGGGAGGGCCCTTAGAACACAGAATGTCAGAGCTGGGAGGGCCCTTAGAACCCAGGATGT